TGTACTGTAATAGCCCACGCAAAATGAATAGGGATTTGCAAATATAAACATGTCGCTTCAGATTTATCTTTCCATATATATTGAATTGGTATAATTGGAAAAACTTTTGTCCTCTCTAATATGCTTATAGTAGGTTCTCTGTAATCATCAAATACGATAAAAACTGCTGTAGGAAGTGAAGGTGAACTTTGGCCTTCTTCAAATAAAATATTTTGAATAGTTCCTATCAAACTATTAACTAATCCAACTTCTGTCTACAGGTTTGCTGTTAGCATAATGCAAGCACTTCTGGCTAGTAACAATTCTGCTTTAAGACTACTTGCTGCATCTGAATCAGTATTTTTAGCTTCTTTACTACCCTATAATGCATTGCAAGAATTTTTGCAACAGGAATGTTTAAAGATTTCAATTTGTCTGTGTTTATTAAATTAACATTAGTTCACTTTATTAGGATGAACATAACATCAGAGAATTGATCACGCTCTGTTCTAATTATCTTATTTTCAAATATGTACTAAGTGTTTTCTAATCAGTAATTGTAGATTCTCTATTGCATAGCCGTAAAAGAATCTTTCTAAATTCTTGTTGTTCTTCAGAATCTGCAAATTGACATTGTATGATATTGAGTTTATATGCTTCATGAAAGTATTTATATACAACAATACCATTATTAGACAACAAATCTCGCATAATGTTTATAATATACATAGAATGATCAAGCACAGGAGAAAGCTAACCAAAATTACCAAATAATATAATTGATCTTTAATCAAAAGGTTCGTTTTTATATTCAGGAAAAGCTTGACATAAGTACATATTAATTAAAGCAAGTATCCGACATCCTACTATGCTTTTTTTCATCAATTATTAAATAATTTATATCTTGTAATCTATTTTGCAACTGTTTAAGTCATTCACTAGTTATATCAAGATGAGTACTAATAGAAAGTGCTGAGTAAACTATCACTCCATTAATATTAAAAGCTGCAATACCCATTGGAGCAAGAACTAATCCAGACAAATTAAATTCTATTTCTGCTATTTCATGAAGCTGATATCTAATTGCCTTAATAAGATATAATTTT